AACCAGCAGGCTATGTTGGGAAGATATGCATACAACACGTGGTCCGCTATGGACAAGTTTAGGGATCATTTGCTGCAGGAGGACCGTCAAGAGTTTAGGGCCGTGGTCCCCAACCCGGTGCCCGCGGGCGCCATGGCGCCCGCCGGGCTCTTTACATGCGCCCACGGAGCCGTGGTCCCCAACCCGGGTGTGCCCTGGGGGGGGGCTGCCCCCGGCCGGGCGGGCAAGTGTCCCCGCCCCCTGGTGCCTGGCGGGCAAACGGCCACGTCCCCTGGCGCCCGACAACCTGTAAAGGTTGGGGACCACTGGTTTAGGGCCTTGACAGACAAGGGTAGGATGGTGGCCCATACGGTCTTGCAAGCGGCCCTTGACGCAGCTGATTCAGCAGCCTGGACAATGGCAACACTGCCCCCGGCCGGGCGGGCAAGTGTCCCCGCCCCCTGGTGCCTGGCGGGCAAACGGCCACGTCCCCTGGCGCCCGACAACCTGTAAAGGTTGGGGACCACTGGTTTAGGGCCTTGACAGACAAGGGTAGGATGGTGGCCCATACGGTCTTGCAAGCGGCCCTTGACGCAGCTGATTCAGCAGCCTGGACAATGGCAACAGCTGTTGTCATGAGACGGAGTATGTGGCTGAACATTTCGGGTATCCCCCCTGACGTACAGGCCTCCCTCCAGGACCTGCCGTTTGAGGGAGCGGTCTCTTTTCGGAGCAAACGAACTCCAGACTACATAGCCTGAAGGATTCCCGGGCCTTGACAGGCCCTTAGGTCTTTGGGGATCCACATGCCCTTAAGTCTTTGGAGATCCACACGCCCAGTCCACTGAGGCAACCCCTCAACCCTAGGCCTGCGACAAGGCCTTTCCAGTGATGTTTTCCCTCTGACCGCAGCAGAAGATGGGGCTGTATTTTCTCTAGAAATGACCCACCTAGAAATAGGCGCAGAGCTCTGAGACCGGCTCAAGATAAAGGGCCCACCATGTCGGCAGGCCAGCACTCTAAACCACCATTTTGAGGGTACGATCAAGGACAGTGCACCACTCACACTTTGTTCACCCCCCTTTGGTTTCTGTTTATTCCGTTTCTACCAAGCCTGGGCATCCATAACGTTGGACCAGTGGGTCCTTGGCCTGGTGGCATGGGGCTACTCGATCCCCTTTACTTCTTCCCCTCCCCTGTCCCCATCTCAATTACCTTCCTCCCTTTTCAGGGACCCCTCTCACGAAGCGCTGCTGAGGGAAGAGATTGTGAAGCTTATGCACCTCGGGGCGATGGAACCCGTTCTCAACGAGTTCAAGGGAAGGGGGTTTTAGTCCCATTATTTTCTCATTCCTAAGGCGAAAGGGGGACTTCATCCCTTTCTAGATCTCCAGGGATTGAACTTGTTCATAAAGAAGACAAAGTTCAAAATGGTCACCCTAGCCTCCATCATTCTCTCCCTTCAGAAGGGAGACTGGTTTGCTTCCCTCAGTTTAAAAAATGCTTATTTCCACGTCACGATAATGCCCACCTACAGAAGGTTCCTGCGGTTCGTGGTAGCTGACGACCACTTTCAGTTCACAGTCCTGCCATTCGGTCTTACCACAGTGCTGACGGTTTTTACCAATTGTATGGCCCCAGTGGCGGCTTCGTTGAGACGTCAGGGGATACACATCTTTCCATATCTGGATGATTGCTTGATTTGGGGCTCGTCCCAGGATCAGGTGGTGTCACGTCTTAATTGCTAGGCGCCTATTTCTGCAGCTCGGCCTCATACTAAATGAAGAGAAGTCCACTGTAGTCCAGTCCCAGACGATAGAGTTCCTGGATTCCACTGCAGGGAAGGCATCCCTGCCCACGCACAGGTTCCGTACTATGCATGCAATGATCATGGACCTCCACAGTTCCCCCATGACCACTGCCCGCAGCTGTTTGTGCCTGTTGGGCCACGTGGCGGCTTGTACGTATATCGTGCCGCATGCCAGGCTGAGGCTACATCCACTACAGGCGTGTCTGAGAACCGCTCACAATCCTATACGATACCCCCTGGACATGGTGGCTACCGTCCTAGGTCCCGTACTTCGCTCCCTGGGCTGGTGGTCTCAGGAGGATGTAGTGTGCGCAGGAGTCCCCTTGGAGAAATGGGCCCCCTCGGTGCAACTAGTGACAGATGCATCGGATCTGGGGTGAGGAGCACAATTGGGGACTGTGAGGACTCAAGGTCTGTGATCTGTGAGGGAAAGTTCCTTGCTCATCAATGTCAAGGAGCTCTGGGCAATCAAATTGGCATGCCAGGCCTTCCTACCCCTGATAGAGAACAAAGTGGTGGAGGTGCTAACTGACAATACCTCAGCCATGTACTGTGTCAGCAGGCGGGAGGGCGGGGGGCTCGTTCTTCCCCACTGTGCAGGGAAGCCACCGAACTCTGGGAATTTTGCATACTGAAAAACATCTTCCAACAAGTTACCTACCTTCCAGGGTCCTGGAACAACGTAGCGGACACGCTCAGACGTTCTTTCCAAGTCCATGAATGGATGATGAGGGATATCCTGGAGGGAGTTTTCCACATATGGGGCTATCCCTTTCTGGACCTGTTTGCCTCCAGGGACAATGCCCAGTGCAGGAGCTACTGCTCCCTCAGGGGGCAGGGGACCAACTCACTAGGGAATGCTCTCCATACGCAATGGCCCAATCTCTTGTTGTACACGTTCCCTCCCCTTCCCCTAATATACGACACACTGATCAGGGTCCAGAGGTTCAGAGCTACGGTCATAATGATAGCGCCAATGTGGCCATGGCAACACTGGTTCTCCACCCTCAGGGAATTGTCGACGGTAGACCCAGTGCCACTGCCTTTAGTCCTGGAGCTGCTCACTCAAGATCTGGGTCAGGGGACGTTATGCCACCTGAACCTAGGGTCTCTCCACCTTATGGTGTGGAACATGAATGGCTCTCTAGCATAGCACAGGACTGCTCTCGAGAGGTACAAAGGGTCCTATTGGAGAACAGAAAACAGTCTCCCAGGGCTCTCTATGAAGCAAATGGAAGAGGTTCGCACTTTGGGCGCAACAAAGGGGCTCACACCCAGTTAGAGCTAGTGTTCCTCTGATATTTGACTACCTGTTACACCTTAGACAACAGGGCCTTGCTACGTCCTCTCTAAGGGTCCATTTAGTGGCAATTTCGGCCTTCCCCCTGGAGAGGGGAGAAGGTCGGTGTTTGCCCATAAAATGATAAAGAAGTTCATGAGGGGAATCGATAGACTGATGCTGCAGGTGCGTCTTCCCGTCTCTTCTTGGGACCTGAACATAGTACTTAAGGGGCTGATGAAACCACCCTTTGAGCCACTGGCCACCTGCTCGTTGAAGCTTTTATCATGGAAGCTGGCATTTTTAGTGGCGATCACATCCTCCAGGAGGGTGTCAGAGTTATGGGCCCTTACTTCAGAAGCTCCATACACCATTGTTGGGTTTTTTTTTTTTTTCAAGGACAAGGTCAGACTCTGTCCTCACCCAGTCTTCCTCTCTAAGGTTGTCTCCTGTTTCCATATGACTCAGGACATTTATTTACTGGTGTTTTTTCCTAAACAACACACCTAGAGAGCAGGCTTTGCATTGCCTGGATGTATGGAGGGCTGTCGCCTTTTATATTAACAGAACGAGAGACTTTTGAAAGTCGCCACAGCTCTTTATTTCTTTCGCAGAGCATATGAGGGGAGCACCTGTGTCAGCGCAGTGTTTATCTTCATGGATCTCGGCATATATTAACGAGTATTATCATGGCTTGGGGAAAACCCCTCCATGGCTGAGAGTGCATGCCACATGGGCACAGGCCATGTCTGTAGCATTCTTGGCTCAAGTGCCTATATTGGACATCTATAGGGCGGCCACGCGGTCTTCTGTACATAACTTCTCCGAGCACTACACCATCATGCGGCAGGCCAGGGCAGATGCATCTGTGGGTAGAGCAGTGCTGCAATCTGTGGAGAATAGGTAAGGTTACTTTCTGACCCCACCCCCAGAGGAAACGGCTTGGGAATCACCTAATTGGAATGGACATGAGCAAGCACTTGAAGAAGAAGAGGAGGAGGTTACTTACCTCGGAACTGTAGTTCTTCGAGATGTTGCTCATGTCCATTCCAAATCCCACCCGCCTCCCCTTCTTCAGAGAACTTCGGCAAGAAGGAACCGAGGGGGTAGAGGGCCAGCAGGGCTTTATATGTGCCGTTATACCGGCGCCACTTCAGGGGGCTCCCTGGCTGGCCCAACAGGTACTGCTGAGGGAAAAAGCTACGAGATCTGTGCACGCAGCGCACACACGCCTAATTGAAATGGACAGGAGCAACACATCCTGAAGAACTGCAGTTAAGAGGTAAGTAACCTCTTCTTCTTTATGCAGGATTCTCAACACGTGGAACTTCTTGCAAGAGAAGGTTGTGAAGACCAGGACTTTAACAGGTTTCAAAAAAGAACTAGATACATTAACAGAGGTTAGGTCTATCAATACTTATTAGTAGGGTTTGCCAAGCGGTGGCGAGCCCTGCTCGCCAGCCGCGTGGAAGCGCACACTGCACATTCGCAGACCGGGCTACGCATGCACTGACCGCGCTGCACGGCCCTGACGGCTTAAAATCATTTGTTGAGCCCTGCTTATTAGCCAGAATGGGTAGGAATGGTGTCCCTAGACTCTGTTTGTCAGGAACTGGAAATGTTTGACAGGAAAGGGATCACTTGATGATTACCTGTTCTGTTCACTCTCCCTCTGGGACATCTGGTATTGGCCACTGTCAGAAGACATGGTACTGGGATTATTGGGTCTTTGGTCTGATCCAGTACAACCTTTCTTATGTTCTTAAAATAGTGAACAGACATTGAGGCATAAGGAATAGTTATTCTCTTCGAGGAGGATGGAAGTTGATCCACATTACAATGTATAGATATAGTACTTTGTTCTATAATTGTTTAATAAGTTGAATTGTATAGTTTTAATTAACCTATTAAGTATTTTTTATTGATCTTTAGGGGGAAAGAAACAATGGCTTTGATGTCCTCTATCATAACATGAAACACGGACATCTATCAACAAAAGATTTAGCGGATTTTATAAGAGAAAGGTAAGTGTTTACCTTTACTAGTCCTGAATCTTACATCTGAATCTGAACATGTGTATATTTTCTTTTCAAAGGTTGATTGTGTAATGTGATTCTATGCATAGTTTTGTGACTTTCATAGGTTCTATGTTTTTTTCACCCTTTTATAAAGTCCTCTAGGTGTGCTCTGCTTACCAATGCACATTGTCTCTTGCACTTGAGTTATTACACTTGAACTTCTTTTACTCCAGCAACCTTGAGAAATATGATATACCAGATTATGGAATTTTCTGGACCATGAGTGTTGGCCATAATGAAGGATGCAGTGGGGTTGGGTGGGTGGGTTCAGGAGTGTGCTGGGAGTTAGGTGCGTGGGGTCTGGGAGGGACAAAAGATACAAGAACATGTTGAAGGTACTGAGTCTGAGAGGTTGCGTGAGGGGAATAAAGATGGGGCTCTTGCCTGGCACTCTGCTCCTCAGGGCGCATGTGGTTCTGCTTCCCTTGCCACTCCCAGCCAATGCCCACTGCCATTATGGGAGCAGTGAGGGAAAAGTCTCTAGACCATCTCTTTGCTGTGCTGTTGTTCCCACAGCTGTGTGCAAGGCCCTCCTGGAGCAGCTGCAGAGTGGACGGAGGGCAGCGGCAGCAGACTGGGGGCAGCTCCATTCGCAACAGGCTGCAGGTTGGAGCGGGCACCTGGAGGCTGGGGCCGACCTGCAGAGCTCCAACCCCCACTCGACCAGTGCATAGACGGGGATCTCTGGGTGGGGGTGGGGAACGTCATCTGGGGAGTGCATCCTGGGCCCCTTAGGAGGAGCTGCTGCCGGAGCTGTGCAACCCTTGTCACCACTCTCAGCCCGGTAAATCCCCCCATACTTCCCAGCCTCCTGTCCTGATCCGACTAACCTGAGGCCTGCACCTCTAATCTGCCTTGACTTCTGAACCCCCCACCTCCTTTCCCTGCCCTGAGCCACCTAGCCCCTGTCTCTCCTTACTCACAAACCCTCACTCCAGCCTTCATTTTCCTTCATTTTTTAAAAATATAATAATTGAACTAAAGTGTATACATTTTTCACTTATTTAAAAAAAAAATCCTGTTCATTAAAGTCATGAGCAATGTTGGGTACATCTGCTAATTTTTTACATAAGGTAAATACTCATCACAAACACAATACAGACTAGCTTTTTAATCACTTCTTCCACGATTAATGGAAATTTTGGCAGATTTTTTTGTTTTTGTTTATACACATAATGTAGAGACAAACTAGAATTTTATAATTAAAACTTGAGAAGATCTCTTAATATAGATTTAATAAAGTGTAACTTACATAAGGATACATATTTATTTCCACAAGTATAGATTTGTAGAACGTAAATCTTTCTTTTTTTTATGGCACTTTAAACTTTAAGGGACTTAACATTTTAAGAACCCTTTTTTTGTTTTTGTTTTTAAATGTTTACAGCAGTTCTCTTCAAGGAATATTAGATTTCATTGTGAGTGTTGTGTAAGTAAATATTGCAGGTTTAAGACCTTCAATAAATATTGACAAATATAATTTCAAAATATGACTAAAGGAAGTTTACTAGTTTAACTGATGAAAGTTAGTACAGCAGGAAACATAACAGAAATATACTCTAATTGAATTAATTTAATTTCTAAAGCAGTGGTCCCCAACCTTTTCAGGTTGCCGGGCGCCAGGGGCCATGGCCATTCGCCCGCCGGGCGCCAGGGGGCGGGGACACTTGCCTGCCCGGGGGCAGCCCCCCCCAGCCGCATGCCCGGGGCC